AAACTAAGAAAAACACAAAACATAAAATAAAAACTTTCCAAATATATTCAAAAAAACAATAATCAATAGAAATAAAATTAAAGAAATAAAAGTATTAAATTTCGTTTTTCTCAACCAAAATCGTCTATGGTAAAAAAGTTAAAAATTTTACTAAAAAAAATGTAAAAAAAAAGTTGCAAAATGGGCGTGTTTTTTGAAAAAAACAGCCATTTTGAATCGTGTTTTATACAAGATTTTTTCCAATTTGGTCCACAAAGCATAGGCATCAAATTCGAATTTAAAATCTGATTTCAATAATTTTCCAAAATCATACTAGGTCGTGGCGTTGCTATGAAAATAGTGTTATTTGTTGTCTTTATGTCACACTTTTTAACACTAGTGATAAAATAATGTCATATTTTATAACTAGTGATAAAATTAAACACATTTGACAACTAAAATGACATATCACAATGGTTGCTTTTCACAACAAAATTGGGAAAAAAAATAGTTTACCGTTAGTTAGGCTAAATAGCATTAGCTATTTTTGCATTTTTCGAGCATTTAATTACGTTTCGAACAAATTTGCGAGATTTATTAAAAATCAGTAACAAAAAATTTAGATCATAAAATCTTGTAATCTGGTGAAAATAGGTGTAAATCTGGTAACTTTTCAGCTCAGATCTGGTGAATTTAATTGTTTTGAACTGGCAACGCTGCACATGTGGAACGAAAAAACGGCAACAAAACAACGAATTAATAAATTTCGATTTTTGTTGAACATTTGAATGTTTAATTGCAAAAAGCGCCTAATAATATTAATTCGTTTAGTTTTTTTATTATTCGGGTATTGGGTTGGCTATCTTGATTTTAATTTGACAGATGCGACAACCGCGAAATTTTTAAACTCTCTAAAATGGACGATTATAAGCCCAAAATAATCAAGTTTCCGATAGCCCTAACCCCACTTTTTGGTCCGCTTTTTTCCCCAATTTCCAACTTTACCCCAAATAGGTGGTGCCGGGTGTGGTCGACCGCCAAATAGACCCTTACATCCCGCCGTACACGGGTCCCGCGCCTCCGCAGCCCCCTTGCGACAACCTAGTCGTCCACGGCTCTACACCACTGTCCCAAATCGGGGCTAGTATCTGTTCAGTGCCACCTAGCGAAAGCTCGGGACCTCTTTCACCGGCCCCTACAACCCCTGGGGGGTCAGCCGATGACTGTGACAGCGATTTTACAACTCGTGGAGGACGTAAACAGAAGCGGGGGGTTTTACCCAAACACGCAACGAGTGTCATGCGGTCGTGGCTGTTCCAACATTTGGTTCATCCGTATCCCACCGAGGACGAGAAACGACATATTGCCGCACAAACGAATCTTACACTTCTTCAAGTCAATAATTGGTTTATTAATGCGAGGAGGAGGATCCTCCAGCCGATGTTGGATGCGAGTGCCCCACAGGATAACAGTGCGGTGGGGAGTTCACCCACAAACAAAAAGAAGAAGAACCAGAATAATAATCGGAGGTTTTGGACACAGGACTTTGCAAATATTCAACCACAAATCGATGGGGGTAAGAATTAATTTTGATTTTGGAGGGGTTTTATGAGTTTTTGTTAGGAATGTTGTCGAGTTCGGACGATGAGGGAGATTCGTACAGCAGCGATGGTGAAGAAGGAAGTCTTGTGATTGACTCGAACGCCCAAAATGAAATCAACCAAAATGGGCATTCTGTTGATCCTTTGAGCTATTCTAGCAGCCCCGATAATGCCCCAGAACGACCATAAAACACTTTGATTTCGAAAAAATTCATTAATAAGGCTGAATTTTAATTAAATTGTTTTATCGAAACCTGTATACGTAATATATACCTCAATTTACGTTTTAAATGTATACGCATTTTTCAAGTTAATGCTCATTCCAGTATTATGTATAAAAGAAATATTGTAATTATGATACGGCCCTCTATATACTTGAAAATTTTCTCTCTTCAATCTCTCTTTGTTTTCGTCGTTGTATAAATCGTTGTAAGATTCTAATCGTCGTACAGTATTAGAATTAAGATGTTGTTGATGCGACAGTCGGAAAAAACACAAAAAGTACATTCCAAAAAATTGTTTTTTTGGACGTCGCATTCGTCAAAAGTATACTACTTGGAACTAATATACGTAATTATACAATAAATAGTATAAGATATCCGAAATTTCCATCCAATTCATATTTAAAGCTATAGTACGTGTAATAACAAATCGAGGGCATTTCTTTTTTTTTTTCAACTCATGTATACGTAAAGCAGTGTATATACGTTTTTATAGATGCTGTAGTGCGTGATTGATCACATCTTTGGATTAAATCCAAGCAATAAAATCCAGTGATGTGTCCCCATATCCGTGTTTATTATTTTGCTATGTCGGTCTGTGATAACTTAACGATTGCTCGAAAGTCATTACAAGAAGAAGCGTTTAGTAACGGCTTGATCCATGATAGATAAGTGAGCTTCTTGTGACTATATGTATACGCTAAATACTCATAGATAAGGTAATTAAGAGAAACTAAACTAGGTCGAATAGGAAATAGAATTGTTTTTTCAGTTCGCGAGACGCGTCCCGACTTTTTTTTTTCTTTTTCTCTCTGTTTTTTTGTTGTTGATATTGTTGGAAAATTGTTTCGTTTAGGGGACGTCCTCCAGTATTTTTTATTGCAATATTTGTTAGTAAGCTACGTGTAACTTTGATTGTATCAAAATAAACACAAATTAAAAACAATTCTCATTCAATCGCACACTCACCCTTACTGCATCTTTTGGGGCCCTCTTCTTCTCGGAACGGACCTACTGAAATAAAAGAACAGAAATGTGAAACTCTGAAAGTTTAAAGAAAAATTTCAACACAAAAAGGATAATACTAACCCTTTAATCCTGTTCCTTGTAGCACGATTGTCTTCTCCATAATCCCCAAAGCACCGATGGAATCGAACCCTGAAATAATAATTTAAAAAAATACAGAGTTCAAATGTTCGTTAAGGGCACTGAACTTTGTTAGCACTTCAAGGTCAGTAGCCGTAGTCAAATATTTTAATTAAAAATTTTTTTTTAATTGTTTGTTCCATATCTTTAATTGAATTGAATACTCAGTACTTATTAATGAATATTTCATCTCAAACCCGTTTTAATTCTAGAATTTAAATCAAAAAAAAATCCAAAATAGAGGACATGAAAAAGTGACAACACACACTACGATGTGGGTGTTGAGCGTCTTTTGAGAAAATTATGTTAAAGAAAGACTTAAAAAACTGATTTTTACCTAATTTGTTGTTAATTTTTTTGAGAAAAATGCGGTTGCTTTTATCAGGGACGACTTGCGACTCCGCTGAAATCACTAATGCACTCACTAATGACAACACAAAAAATGTTATTTGTGGCATACCAAGGCAAACCACACGCCAAATTTAATTAATTTTACGGCAAAATTTAATTTAAATTATTGTAACTTTGAAGTTGCAACACCACAAAGCACATCCGAACATAATGGCGTCGGAAAAACAACTGACTGCGGCGAGGCATGGCGCACCATGATGGCATTATCACGTGCGTGAAACATTTGAAAATATTAAAAAAAAGGCTATCGGGTATCAAACATTGCAGAATTATACACAAATACACATAAAAATAATTACAATTTATATATTCATTGATTTATTTTTTTCTAGGAACAATAAAACTTTAGACCATTTGGGTTTTCGGTCTTTTGCTCACTCACCAAACACAAACCGCAGATGCCGCCACTGTCTCCGATCAATTTTCCGCAAAAATGACCCTTTTTTAGCCCCATGGGCACCGAAATCGACGTTTTTATCAGTAACTACACCCTCGTGGACCCCGAAATTTACCAATTGTGGGTGGAGGGCCACACAGGTAACCCTAACCTAACTTCAAACTCGGGGACTAACACTGACTTTCAGCAAGCGAAGCTGTCTCGATTCTCAATCAAAGGGGCCTTGGACAGGTCACTGGAGCCTCTCTCGAGTTGATCGCCAGCGATGTTTTAGACCACTACCGTACTTACTCTCTTCTGGAAAAACTACTCAGTAACCCCAATAAATTACAGGAGCAATTGGCGTTCCAGATTGAACCCCAGACGAGGCAATTACTGATTGAGAAATACTACGATTTTGATGACGTGGTCGTCCGGGAATTAATAGGGAAAAAATTGTCAAGTAAACACAGGAAGGATTTAGATGAGGTGGCGGAGAAGACAAGAGTGCCCCTTAAGTCGTGCCGGCGGCAATTCGATAATGTCAAACGCATTTATAAGATGGTGGAAGACATGCAGGGCCCCGTGGTGCAAAACATCCAAAATCACTTCTACTTGAGTGAACCTTTGGCCAAAAAATACGCTTGTATTGTCTTTCTTGCTTGTATTCGCTTCGAGACTAAACGGAAACTCAACCACATTACATTCTCATGTTGGAAACGCTGCACAGAGGCAATCATGGACAACTGGACGAATAAATTAGCCGGGGTTGATAATTTCGATACAGAACTTGATAAAGACTTCTTCACCGAATTAAAAGACATCAAAATTATGCTTGAAAAAGAACGAGAACATAAACAGTAAGTCTCACATCTCCAGTCACCCGAAAACAAATTTTATTGTTTTTAGGTTGGTATGCCTGACACTCAAGGCAACACTGTTACACAAGTGTTATACCGATTTGGACTCAAATTTTAAAAACTACAGTCGGGCTCTTTTGCAACCCGCCAGTAACATGCATAGGCCCCGAGACGTCAAAAATATGTTCCTAGAATTAAATTCACTTTCGGATTCTTTAAAACAAGCGAATTGGAGTGGACAAGAATTGGAAATTTTCCTCAACGGTTATACACAATGTGGATTCGAAATTGATGTTATAAGGCATCGTTTTTCGATTTTTGTCACTTAAAACTAATTTCTGTTTGTAGGGACTCGAACTCCATGAAGACACTTTGGGAGAAATACATGACAGTCATTTCTGAATGTCTTCTTGCCATGTACTAATTTATTTACATATTTACAAATATAATTAAGACTTGATTAACGTTTTACTAAAATTTGGGGGGACCCCTTATACAACCAATCACTTTTACCTTCCGATTGGAACCAAAGCAGTAACAAATTCGCGTCGACGGCTAGCACTGAACACTCTGTATACTCTGAAACATGAAACTGATCTAGTGACATTAATTTCTCAAAGGTGGTTAACCTGACAATAGTAATTTTTGTTAGTTACCTTCTTCACAATTTTTTTTTACCCAAATGTGGTCCCCAACCTTCCAATCGATTATCATTTCGGAAACCCTGTTCAAAAATTCTTGGACCATTTTGCGGTTTTGTATTGGCACCACTTCCCAGATTCTGTCACTGACGTAATACCCGGGACGTACCAACTCCGGCTTGACGTAATTCCACGAACCGTTATCAAAAAACACCAAATACCTGTCAAAAATCACAAATGGGGGAAATCCAGAATAAATTCCTACCTCTCCCGATTGAATTTCGTTGGTAGTTCTGCCACTACACCCAGTTGGTAATTCAGTCGTCCTCTTCGTTTAACTTCGCCGGTCGTCGGGATGCGGCAATGATGCGCCACGACACGACTACCAACCGGCACTAAGCGAAGGACGGGCTCGGCGTGGGCTAACGACAGGAAATCGCTCACGATGCGTTCCTGTGTTTGCAAATCAACCAAATCCAATTGCGTGTTTTTGATTTCCACAAGTTTAGCTTTCCTCCACTTCCCGCGTTTGTTGGGGACGAAATACGTCAATCCGGTCTCGATTTTCGGGGCTTCCCAGTTCAAAGTGTCCATCGAGGCGATTCCTGAATCGCTCTTAATTTTTTCACTACTCGCATCGCTTGTTTCATTATTATCAAAATCCTCGTCCTCTGTTGCAATTTTTAGAATGTGGGGGGCATGCGCGCGGGGACTTACCGATTCCGGCGATAAGACCTTCAATTATTTGAAGTTTTTCGGCGCGATTCGGACTGAAATTGTAATTGAGGGTGCTTTCGACGCCCCAACCCCAGATTTCGTCATTGATGGAGATCAATTCGCGTTCATGGATCACGTGATTTTGCGCACAAATTGATAAATCTAATTCCATATCATCCATGGCTTACACACTTTTTTACACTTAGATTAGCTTGAGAAAATAAGAACAATTAAATGACATTTGAGCAAAAATTGAGTGACATTTGATTTCTTATTGATGCGTTGCTAGGTAACCAGATCCTGATGAGCAAAGTTGACTTGATCCATGTTATTAATGACACTTTATTATTTAAAAATTAAAAATAATGCCATAAACGATATCAAAGAATAATAATATTTCAATAATAAAGTCGCAAAGACAATAAATGACGCAAAATGTGGTAAGTGTAATTTTTTAAAACTTTATTATTTGTAATGTGTAGTGAATTTGGAATTAGAGGTTGGTACTGAAAGCTAGAAGAAATAAAATTAAGAAAAGAAACTTAATCAATGCGTTCAAAGATAATTTGCACTCTGCTGTCTTCCCTCAAGCTGTGGTTCACCAGAAATAATTTATTTTTCAAATGACATTTTGTTTTCCACCAAATGTTGGTGACATTGTAATTTTCATTCTATTGACAAATACCAACTTAACAATAATAATAAAAACAAGAAGTATTTGTAAAAATCTGTTTATTTCAATTGGGAGTCAATATAACAAAAAATAAAAACAGGGAAACAACTGACTTTTTAACACTCCTCATTCCTGTTATGCCTCGCCGGCTTTAAAGTGAGCAAATCAGGATCAATCCCGATTTCTTGATCATTCTGGATCAAATCCAGATTCCCTTCTTCCCCCAATAAAATCCCATCCCCTATTAAGTTACTCTGAATCCCAGCAATTCGGTCTCCTATTAAAACCGTTTCGTTGATATTATCAACACTTTGATATGGAACTTGGGGGATTATCGAGGGCCACTCTAGGCCTAGGAACAAGTTCGTGGGGCTTTGCTCGGGGGGGAAATTGAGTAGGGGGCTCTCCAGTGGCGTAGAACAGGCTAAAACACCAGAAAAAATATTTCAAACAAGTTTTTTATGTAAATACCTGAAGGAATGTTGAGGTTTTGGACATTCTTGACGCTCTTTTCCTGTTTCCTCCACTTGGCCCTCCGATTTTGGAACCACACTTGGACCCTAGCTTCGGTTAAGTCGATTCTTAAGGCCAACTCTTCCCGGAAGAAAACGTCCGGATAATGGGTTTTGTGGAATGCCCTTTCTAACTCTTCCAATTGGTAATTGGAAAAGGTCGTTCTGTAGCGCCTCTGTTTCCGTTTCGAGGCGTTAGTCGAGTCATCCTCGACGTAATTGTGATAATCTGTGTTTAAATTAAATAAGCACAAATCTAATTAGATTTAATTAAGGGCTAATTCGATTTGGGCATAGTGTTGCATTACTTACCTTGCCGGTCTTCTTTCTCGAAATCCAAGTTGTTGAGGAAGGAGTTGATGGCGTATGAAGGGCCAGGACTGGCTTTCTCCTCCATAGCTAGGGCATTTTTCAGATATGACGGCTTTTCCAACGCTTTTCCACCACCAAATCGCGTATTACGAACGGATGAAGACTTACGACTGGTGGAGTATTTTCTATTGAAAGCTTTTCATGCGTTTTACGGCTTCAGCCATAATATAGACACGGAAATTTTCAACAAGCATTTTAAGGGCGTTTTCACAGTTGTACAAATATTAATAACTCTTGTCGATATTTCCGACAAGTCCATAGTTTTATTTGGCTGTTTTTGGCACCTTTTACGGCGAAATATTTTATTATTAATACCGAAATGAAAAATAAATACAAATACAGGTGACCGGAAAGTCGCATAGTTCCTTGAAAGGGAGTAATTGGGTAGTTTGGGTAGTCCCCCATAGTATTAAAAAAAATTTTTGACAATTATTTTTTGACATTTGACATTTTTTTAAGTCTACTTGATACTGATGATCTTGTATACCGGGTGTCCGAGGCAGGATTGGATATAAGAAATTAACCTGGAAAATTGGTTTTTATTTTTTTCCGGCTGCAGGAGTAACAGAAATCAAAATCTGATTGATGGAGCTTCTAGTGCTTGAAGAAAGCTATCATATTACTATTTTTCTAGATTCTCCAATTAACTCCATTTGGGCGAAAACGACCCTCGAAAAATCGAAATTTGAATTTGCCGGGTTAGCGTCACTAAGAAACTAACTATCAAGTCATTGTTGCCAAAGAAGAATTTGTCAGAATTTGACTTGATAGTTCGTTTCTTAGTAACGCTAACCCGGCAAATTCAAATTTCGATTTTTCGAGGGCCGTTTTTGCCCAAATGGAGTTAATTGGAAAATCGACAAAAAGTCGATAAGATAGCCCTTTTCGAGCACTACAGGGTTCATTAATCAGATTTTAATTTCTGTTACTCCTGCAGCCGGAAAAAAATAAAAACTAATTTCCCATGTTAATTAAGCATGTTAAGCCGGCATGTTTTTTTTATAATTATGTATTTACTAAAGCTACAAGAACAACAGAAATAAATAGAGTCAAAGTGCAAAATTTAAACTCTTATAACTTTTTTTAGAGATCCACAGTTTAACATTTTTTTTTTCAATGTTCACTTATGTTACAAAGTGGTTATAAATGATTTTCATCTAGCCAGCTGTGAATTTTCCATGTAAAATAAAAAATGCCGCTTTATGAAAATAGGGGTTTCTACTTGTTTTAACTCAAAATTAAAAAATCGCCGTTTACTAAGCGTCCACTTCGAAAATAGACTTCAATTATAAACTTGTTTCCTTCCAAAATATACATTATTACCAATTATTATTGGAAATTAGTTGAAACAATAAAAGTTTAATTAACAACAACTTATTATTAATTAATAAGTGACCCTAATAACAGAACTAGAGCTTTCAAAAAAAGTAGAGCGGCACAAATAAAGTTACATGCAAAAAAATTCCAAAGCTGGCTATAGATGAAAATTATTTATAACCACTCTGTATTATTATTATATTACATATTATTAATTTTTGATATAAAAAGAAACATTGAGTTATTAATATTTATAAAAAAATAGTAGTTTATTAAAAAACAAGTAATAAGACCAGTCTTGAAGCATGAATTCAATTATAAAAAACGAGTGGCGTAGTCACAAGTTATTCTAAAGAATGAATGCTTCAAGGACTTATGCAACGAGGTTTTTATACTATTTTTGCCCGTTTTATGTCGTTTTTAAACAAAATTTTTTGCTTTAATCGATTTAGGGATGTTGTGACTTTTGGTAATGTCTTAATTTTAAAAAATCAAAATTTGATCTAGCCGCCTTATGACTGTTAAATCATCTCATATGATGATGTTTTTTAGAGAATCAAAGTGTAGGCAAATAATATTAAAAACATTTGTTGTTATAGCAATTTTAAAGGCTATTAACCAAACTCCATAAGAAATATGTCCAAATTTCTGACCGTTAACTCCCATGATTCCGATTTTATTAATTAAAACGCCAATTATGTTGGCCGTTAATGTTGTTTGTAGTCTCTTTTGCGTTAAAAAACATCCTGTTGTATTTTAACAGAATTAACGGTTTGTTAAACTGTTAACAGTCACATTAATTTAACAATATTACATCCTTCCACAGTATCCTGGTAGTGTTGATTTATGATTCTTTAAAATTTTAACGACCATCAACGTAATCTGTTAAAAAATGAGGCATTATCTTTGATTAAATTGATAAGCCCCCGTAGAGGCTTCCAAAAATTGCCGTAGCGCACGGTATTTCACGTGCACATGGCGGGGTATTGGTTAAAGTTTTCAACTAGCAATAATCGCACCTCGGGTTTACCTCATCGGTTACGATACTGCCACTGCGCAAAGCTAACGAAATCAAACTTTCTTTGCTCATTTAAACCTGACAGGACGACAAACTGTCACAAATCACAAACCTTGGCGCCATCTCACGACCCTTCTTCAAACACTTTAAAACATAAACAAAAAGCTAAACTTATAACAAACCCCAAAATTCCCATTAAGTAACCAAAATAACACCCTCTTTACCCAATTCTTCAATTTTTGTTTATTCAAAAATCGTTAAATTGGCTCATTATCGTTATTATTATCACAGTGACAGCTAACCTCAAAAATGTCATCGCACTTGCAAGGGGGCCGTGTCGACATCTCCCTCATTCAAACAGCGGCCCGTAACAACCTCATCACTCTCCTGGAGAAATGCCCGGGCCCCAAAGCCATCGTTTGGGACAACTCCCTTGCCGGCCCCGTGGGGCTCATCGCCCAATACGCAGTTTTGAAGGAACACTCGGTTACTAAAATGTTCCCCTTGCGTCCCACGCCACTCCCGGAGACCGATGTGGCCCATGTGATTTTCATAACGCGCCCCAAATTACACCTAATGGACTTTGTAGGCTACAACGTGCATGCTGATAGCAAGACCAAAACTGGCTCCAAAAAACAATACCATGTCTTTTTTGTCCCGAAGAAGAGCCTCCTGTGCTTGGAGCGACTCAAACACAATGGGGTTTACGGCAGTGTGAGTCTAGTTGAAGAGTTTCGATGCGAGTTGTTCCCTTTTGATTCAGATGTTGTCTCAATGGAAATTTCGGAGGTTTTTCGGTGAGTTTGCCACTTGGGGGTGTTTAAAGGGGCTCATGGGTGTTTCTAGAGAGTACACACTTGAAAATGACCCGACTTATCTCTACCAAACGGCGCAAGCTATCATTTTTTTGCAAAAATTGTACGGCCCCATTCCCCGGGTTTGGGGCAAAGGTCCGGCCGCTCGCCAAGTCTGGGAGTTAGTGACACGGCTTCAGCGTGAGAAAAACGCCCCCTTGAAGACCAACCAGACTTCCACCATCGACCAAATTCTACTAATCGATCGAGGGGTTGATCTAATAACCCCCTTGGCCACCCAACTGACTTACGAGGGGCTCATCGATGAGATTTTCGGGATAAACAACTCAACAGCTCAATTCCCCATTGACAATTTTTTGAGTAGTGAGGAACGCACTTCTGAGTCACTTTCCGAAGACAAGAAACAAATAATCTTGAATTCGGCCGATAGATTATTTTCGGATATCCGTGATAGGAATTTTAACGCTGTGGGGGCCTTCCTGTCCAAGCAAGCGAAGGCGATTAGTGCCCAATTGGATAACAGTCAAGAGCGATCCGTGCAAGAAATGAAGTTGTATGTGCAAAAACTGCCCCAGATTTTGGCCAAAAAGAAGGCTTTGGCCCATCACACCGCCATCGCAGAGTGTATTAAAGAAGTGACTGATAGTTACGAATTTTTGGATACTTTACAGACGGAACAGGAGTTTTTGAATTGTATTGAAGTCGATAAGGCCAGTCCTTACATCGAGGATTTGATAGCACATGGCAAACCCCTGGTCAAGGTCCTGAGACTCATCTGTTTGCAATGCATCACGAGTTCAGGACTCAAACCCAAAGTGCTCGAACACTACAAGAGGGAACTGGTACAGGTGGGTTTTTCGCGGAAATTATTACTCCCATAAGGAAAATCGGAAACTACAGACGATTTGCTTTCGAATGGTGAAAACCCGAAATCGATCGGACTTGTAGTTTAGGCTACAGAAGCGTTTAAAATTTTTAATTTGGCCTTTGTCAACAGTGTTGCCACATCAAAAACATGAAATTCACCAGATTCGAGTTGAAAAATTTGACCAATTTTACCAGATTACGATTTGTAAAAAACGCACTTTTCAGCTTAAAAATCTGCTTAAACTCTTGAAAAAAGGCCTAATTCTGTGATTTTTCGGATTGACAAAATTTTGCGAAATAATTGTGATTCTAGCTGAAAAATGTGCTAAAACACTCGAGAAATGCAAAAATAATGTAATTCTAGACTTAATTTCTTGATTATTTAGTGTGTTTTTTAGCGAAATCTAGCGAAAAACCTGAGATTCTAGTACAGAAACGTGCTTGCGCATTTTCGGTCAAATTTTGTGGTTTCTCGGCTTATTTTTGCTCAAAAACCAGTTAAATCGAGAAAAACAAACAAAATAACACCAATATCAATTCTTTTTGTGATTTTTGAACAAGATTTAGCAAAATAAATGAATCTCTGGTTCAGAAACGAAGTAAGTCGGGCGAAACAAGCTAAAAAATGATATCAATTTCAATGCAATATCTCTCAAAAACATAGTTAAACACTCGAAAAAGACAAAAAAACGCCGTCTCTGGGCTATTTTTTTGAATTTGTGGCTTGTTTTTGACAAAATTTTGCACAATAATTGTGTTTCTAGCTGAAAACTATTCAAAACAACTTGTCATTTTCGACAATAGAACTATTTTTAAGCAATTTGGTGGTTTTCGATTATTTTTTCTTCGAGAAAATTTGACGAAATAGTCAAGATAAAGCCTAAGAGTTAGGTAAAAATATTTAGTGACTTTTGATACGCAAACTCTTGCGAAAAACAGAGTTTTCAGCTTAAAAATCTGCTTGAATTTTCGAAAAAGGAAAAAATGATATCATTTTCGGCCTAATTTTGTGTTTTTTTGGCTTGATTTTAACTAATTTTGCGAAATAATTGCGTTTCTAGCTGAAAAACATGCTAAGACTCTAAAATTAATATAATTTTCGACTTAATATGTTGATTTTTTAGTTCGTCTTAGCGAAATCTCGCAAAAAACGTGCTCAAAAACAGTCTCGGCTTATTTTTGTCTTATTTTGCTCAAAAACCAGTTAAATATACTAGTGAAACAAACAAAATAACACCAATATCAATTGTTTTTTGCGATTCTTAAGCGTGTTTGGACAATATTTTGCAAAATAAATGAACCTCTGGTTCAAAAACGAAGTAAGTCGAGCGAAACAAGCTAAAAATAATATCAATTTCGATTTAATTTTGTAATTTTTTTTGCTTGCTAAGACGTAACACTTAAAAAGGGCAAAAATAACGCCGTTTTTGGCCGAATTTGTCGAATTTTTGGATTGGCTTTAACGAAATTTTCCGAAATAATTGTGTTCCTAGCTGAAAAAGTATTCGAAAACGAAGACAAAAATAAATTGTCATTTTTATCCTGTAGAAAAATCTTGTAAAAAACTATTTTTTACCAATTTGGTTTTACTTTTGGAAAAAATCAAGTTTCTAGTTGAAAACGTGAAAAATGCTCGAAAAAAAGTTTTTTTCATTTCTAAAAAATCATCAGGTATTAGAATTTTTACAAAAGTTTTCACCAAATCACCAGACTAACATGAAAATCACCAGATCTGGTGAAATTTCACCACACTTGTCAACACTGTACCATTTAAAAGAGGAATATTGGGTGCTGAAATGAGCCATACAGGGTGTTAAAAAAAGATTGTAAAATAAATGAACCACTGGTTCAGAAACGAAGTAAGTCGGGCGAAACAAGCTAAAAAATGATATCAATTTCGATTTAATTTTGTAATTTTTTAGCCTGTTTCAATGCAAAATTTCGAATTTTTTGTGTTTTTATCTCTCAGAAACATCCTTAAACACTCGAAAAAGACAAATAAACGCCGTTTTTAGGCTATTTTATTGAATTTGTGGCCTGTTTTTGACAAAATTTAGCCAAATAATAATTCTGTTTCTAGCTGAAAAAGCTTTCGAAAAACTAAAATAAGTTGTCATTTTTGAGTTTGTTTAGCAATATCTTAATGAAAAACAAATAGAACTATTTTTAACCAATTTGGTGGTTTTCGATTATTTTTTTCTTCGAGAAAATTTTACGAAATAGTCAAGTCAAAGGCAAGGGTTACGTAAAAATATTTAGTGATTTTTGACCCGCAAACTCTCGCAAAAAAAAAACAGTTTTTAGCTTAAAAATCTGTTTGAACTTTCGAAAAAGAAAAAAATTATACCATTTTCGCCCTAATTCTGTGTTTTTTGGCTTGCTTTTAACCAATTTTGCGTTTCTAGCCGAAAAACATGCTAAGACTCTTAAAAAAAATGTAATTTTCGACATAATACGTTGATTTTTCAGTTCGTTTTAGCGAAATCTCTCAAAAAACCTGAGATTGTAGTACGAAAAAGTGTTCTAAAACATTCTCGGCTTATTTTTTTCTTATTTTGCTCAAAAACCAGTTAAATCTAGTAAAACAAACAAAATAAGACCAATATCAATTGTTTTTTGTGATTTTTAAGCGTGTTTGGACAAGATTTTGCAAAATAAATGAGCCTCTCTGGTTCAAAAACGAAGTAAGTCGAGCGAAACAAGCTAAAAATAATATCAATTTTGATTTAATTTTCTAATTTTTTTTTGCCACTCAACGTAATTTTTACAAATTTTCTCGGAAACGTGTTTAAACATTTGAAAAGGGCAAAAATAACGCCGTTTTTGG